ATGTTAAGAACATGTATGTAAATGTTCTTATGAAAATGGAACTACAGCAGTCTTCCTATGAAAGTAGAAACAGTATATCTAGGTAAGTATTCTTCAACTATGATGAAAGACAAGGGAAGTAAAGGGGTTCAAGGAACTGATTACAAAGTGATTTTGTATGTAAGTACTTAACCTAATTCCAATAAAGTATTTTATGTGCATACTGTTAATTACTCATATGTTGAAGTACATTTACAAGCATCTTTATACTACAGTTGTGCATTCAAAAATATTGAGAGTCCAAATAAAGATGAATATCAGTTTATCATTTGTTAAAACACAGAGTATAAATAATATAAAACCAAAAGAAGTGATGCATTATATAATCAGATTTGCAGTTTAATTGCCATCCACAGATTGCAGACTAAGGATACTCTAAAAGAAACAATACAGTTAAAACCAAGATATAATAGGGTTAAAACCAAGTTTGACGTGACCACCTATATCAGAAAATAGAGAAATAAGAATATTGAATAGGGAACTCATCCAACCAAAAAAGGGAGCAGAAAAAATTGGTACAAATTTTTTTAGCCCTGAATCAAAACAGAAATTTAACTGAATTTTTGTGTTTAATCAGGCATATTCACATGGGAGCTAAAAATTAAAATTGGGAAAAATCTGAGCAGTAGAAGAGGAATCTTGTGCACATCATCTTTGAAGTTTCAGTAGCCAAATATTTAGGAAGCAGCAGAAATTCAAGTGATAGCAGGACAAGCAGATAGCATAATGGCTATGTTGCTGAACTCCCATGTAGTTGACCACAGTTCGAGTCCCAGACCCAGTGGCTTAAACTCATGCCAGGAGTGAGGGCGTGCCCAAGATCTCGAGAGAAGAATAGAGGAGAAGGAATTGTGGTGTGGCCATCTCACCTGGGGGTTGATTTTTTAGCTTTCTGTCTCTCTGTCTCTCTCTGTCTTTCTGGCGAGTGCATGTGCCCTATGGCAAAACCCTCTCCAAAAAATAAAATAATAATAATTCTTTAACTGTTATGAATATGTGTTTTTTTTTCAACCAAAA